AAAAACAAAAGGACTTGGCCATCTCATATTTATCTGGTGATCCTATCCCGGGCTTCAAAAGTAGCAGGTAGCCAATGAGGAGTATGGGAGGTGGGAATAGGGAGGGGCACCAAGATAAATGATCTGCTCTGGGCCATCCTAAGGCTTCAGATAAGGGTAGTTGCTGGGTAAATTACAGTTAAGTGCAGTTACTGGGTTGGCTCTGATTTCTCTCCCCCAGTGCCATGAGTGTAGCTAGCTCCCCAGTGTCCAGCGTAGTTCTAAATGCTCTGTAGAGGACTCATTACCGCCACGGGTCACACCAAAGAGACACTGACCCTCCTCCAAGGGCAGGTCCTCCTGCTCCTGCTTCCCCACCTGCCGGTTGCCTTGGCATGTGCCTGAGATTATTCATTCCCAAGGATCTCCTTGGAGCACCACATACAGAGAGCAGTTGAGTCCTGGGAGAAGCTTTGATGATGACAACAGAGTGGCACCCTCCTTCAAATCTTAGTTTGCACACAGGTTGAGGGTATGAGGAATGTGCTGATTAAGAAGCTGCAGTGGAGAGAAATGGAAAAACCATAATCTATAACAGAGCATCCTTCAGATGCTTCCTGGCCTTGTGGCTGCAGAGTGTGAAGGGCAGAGCACGGCTGCCCACCTCCAGCCTTGCCCCACGAAGGAGAAGGACACCAGAGGCACCTGTGCACTGTCCAAAGGGAAATGAGAGCTGTACATGCCCCATGGCCCCCGGCCCACTGCCAGAGGTGGGTTGGGACCACTTGATATCGCTTTGCATATGATTCCCCAGGTTACATTCGAGAAGTGGGAGCCAAAGTCCTCCCTGTGGTCACCTGATCTCCACCAGGAACAAAAGACATCATTGAAGAGGAAGAAATACGTAAGGGAAAAGTATGAGGAGACCCACACTGGGGACCGGGAAACCAACGTGTGGGAGGGGACGCAAGGGTCCTTCAAAGGGGTGCCCAGGCCACTGCTCTTTCTGAATACTGTGAATAAACTCCAGATGGTGCCTGAGTACTATGACTGATGACCTGAACTGGTTTAGCTCAGCAGTTCTCCATAGGGGTCTGTGAACACCTGACACTGTTAAGTAAAATTGTCCATGCGTATAAGCTCCTTTTCTGGGGAAAGGGCTTCCATCAGATTCACAAAGGGGTCTGTTGCCCCTAAAGGCCCAGACCCATGAGTGGGTAAAGTCAGTTAAGCAGCTTCCTCCAGGCTGGCTTACTTAGCCCAGGACCCCAGGGTTCTGAGGTAGGGCTCAGCCCAGCAGGGAGGGGCAGAGGGTCCTGAGGGCAGCTCGCTGGCACTGCACCTGCTCTCAGCACACTGCGTCCTGCCCTCCTGCCCGTGACAGGATCAGAGAGGGCCTGCGGCTTACAGACCCTAAATACTCTGGAACAGGCCTGGGCACAGAGCAGCTGCTCAGCACCTAGTGAACCCCGGTAAGAGGAGGTACACGCCCTCGGACTTGCTCCGTGGGCAGCCTCACTTCCTTGTCACTGCTAACATGGCATAACTCGTCAGAGAGCTGCCTGTCAGGAAAACTGTGCTTCACCCATTGAATCATCACAATCCTACTGGGTGGGAACTGCTTCAATTTTCATTCCACAGATGAGAAAACAGAGCCTAGAGAAGTTAAGGAACCTGCCCACAGTTACACGGTGACAGAGCCAGCAACCAGTTCCAGGCAATGTGTCCCCAGTGCCTGAGCTCTAAGCCACTCTGCCACACAGCCTCTCAGCAAGCTGAGTTCCCAGGGCCACCAGCGACCAGAGTCGGGGCTAGCAATGCCACTTGGCCCTCCCCTATAGGAGCCGCCATATTAAACAGTCACCCTGATAAAAAAAAAAGGCTTTCCAAAATTTATGCCCCTGAGTCATCCCATCAATGGGTTCTGTGAAATGGGTTCACAAAGATGCCACACTTGGCTCAAAGTTTAAATTCCAAAGAACCATCCTGAACCCTTTCGAAACTGCATCTACAGGGTGGTGATGGCCCACGTGGGCAGGACTGGCTCACAGCTAGTGCCAGCCCATCATGCAAGCTGTTCCGGGCTCTGTCTCCTCCTGGCACACAGGAAATGAGCCCAGAGGCAAGGGAGAAGTGGAGGGACCGGCATTCCTTTCCTGTGAGATTCTGTTAAGCAGGGAGGGGTGGGGGAACAGAACGGAAAGGGGGGGAAGAAAACTTCTGACTTGAGAGTTTCTGCTGGCTCTCGGACCCCCTCTGGCTCATCAAAGAGCCCTTTCAGGGTTCCCACTCCCCAACTAAGTTATCACTTCCTGTCCAGCACACTACACCCATTGATGGGGTATCAGCAAGTCCCACCAGTTTATGTCAGAAAGACCCAAGGAGACTGAACAAGAATGGAAGGGGGGAAGAGGAAGGAGGCAGGAGGGAAAGGCGTGGCTTTCAGTCAAATCCCATATTCAGTGGGATATTCAACCCCTTATTTTTGGATTAAGAGAGGACTTGTAATACAGGACACCTGCTCACCTTTGGCTCATCTCTTAGATAGAGCAATAAGGACAATGGGGTAAAATCAGGGGCCTGGGGACAAGCACGCACGCCTGGCCTCTCCAAGGTGACTCACCACCAGAGGTCTGCTAAGGAAGGAGTGGACCTTGGTTGTGAGGGCTAGGAATGGGTGTCTTCTCTTTGTGTTTTTATTGGCCTAAACCAGGTTTATAGTCCTAAGGAAGACCCTAGAAGCTTTTGGCTTTTCCTTCCTGGTATAAGAAGGGTTGCTGCACAACTCACAGTGATTCTGCCTTGTCTGGAGCCTGCCTCTAATAAAGAGGGGTGGACCTGACAGTCATGTCTGTGCTACACAACCCTCTACCCCAGGCCATACTAATTGGTCCAGAGAGGGCACCTGACTCAAGTCAGGCCAATCCAAGTTTTCCCTGGGGTTTTTCAATTTTGAACTGGGAGAAAATCAGTCTCTCTGCTGTTGGTAATCACAAGATATGAAATTCACAGCCAAGTTCCTCAGGAAGCTGAGGACAGTGCCCAGAGAGAAACTGAGGCAAAACAGGGGGAAGGCAGCCCTGGCCCCTACACATATATATCTGAATTCAGGTGTTCCTGGAACCCCTGCCTCACTCGCCTTTCGCCATCTGGTCAACTGCAGAAGCTTCCCTGGTATCTTCTTCCAACCCAGTCTCCTTTTTGTCTAAGATGGTATGAGTGTGAAACTGAGGGAGGGCAGGGACATGGGACATGCATCATGATTAATTTTTCCTGCCTGTGATGATAAATGCTGAGATATAAATAGTAGAGTAAGAACCAGGAGGGACTCCATCTCAAGCCAAAGATTCCATTTTTAAAAAGCAGGAAGTTAGGAGGTGAGATTCCTGACGTATTTTATGGTCATCAGCCAATAACCTACCCTATCTTAAGGCAGGGCAAGCAGTCCTAAATGGTTCATCCCCACCACTTAAGTGTAACCACTATATTGGAGAAGAACAGAATAAAGAAATTCCTTGTGTTTTAAGTTTATCTGACAGAATATGTAGAGGACAGACTATGGATGGTGACACAATGTCTCTCCCTGGAGACAGACACCATGAGACCACAGGTCAAGCCTATGCCTCCCCCTCACCCAACCTTTGCCCCATTCTTGAAAGCCTTAAAAGACAGAATTCTAGGCCCTTAAGCGTACCTCGTCTCTGAGGTTGCCTGCACTCCCCCTTCTTCAACTGTGTACTTTGCCTTAAATAAAGAGTTTCCGTTGCTAACTTACTGGGTTTTGTCTCTGCCCTGCCAGCGGTTAAGCATCATTGTTACTTTGCTATGTCATTCAGTTTTCTAGACTTAAGCACAAGTCTTCACTCTTTCTGTCCTACTTCAGACAAGTAGGGAGGCACTACTGAGATTTCTGATTTAGGCTTGCAAGTTTCTGTCGCCTGTGTGACCCAGATGGGACTGCAGCTGTACAATGCTCTTTAGTGGCCTGCCCAAAAATCTCCTTTCTTTGCCTTTGGAAAGTTTGCAGAACATAATCTCACTCCATCCAGTGCTCTGCGGCTTCCCCAAATCCTGGGCTGGTAGGGACTGAGTTCCCACGCTGTGCAGACTCAAGCAGACACTGGGCGGCCAGGTGACCCTGGCTTCAGGAGCAGGCAAGGGATCTGCCCTATGCCGAGCAGTTCAACGAGCTCCCCTGTCCCCCCTCTGCTCTTCCTTGCTTTCTCTGCCTGCATGGCTGCTGCCATCCACTACTACTCTCACTTTAATGGACTCTTTCCTTACTTACACTTGTCTGACCTGTTCAAGAATTCTTTCTTGACCAGAGTCAAGAACCCTCCCCGTTCAGGTTGAGGTTTCAGCTAGTGCACAGGGAGAGACCTCCCAGACGCAGCTGCCCAGCAACAAAACTACCATGTGTGACCTGAAGCCCTGACCAAATGTGCTGGCATCCAGGGAGCCGTGGGACCCCTACTACCATCCCCCTGTGTGAACATCAGAGAGACACACATACCATACACATGTACAGACAGCATGGCAAGAGCCTTATTTGGTTAGACAGACACAGTGGTATGCCCAGTGTGTGTCTGTAGTTCAAGAAATTGTTTATTTTCTGTTTTGGTCTTTTCTGCGTGTTTGCTTTTCTTTGGCTGCAGTGATGTGGTGGCTTGTGTCTCACCCTGGATGTTTACAGACACATGTCTGCTCATGCACACTGCACCCACAGCCATCCTCCCACCTCTCCACCCTGGTTTCCTACCCCCCAGGCAAAGGAGGGTGACAAAGCATGACTGTTAAGACCATTGGAGGAACCCAACAAAGCCCCAAGGATCTGCCTGCCATACCCAAGACTGGGCCGAGCCCAGCACAGCCATCAAGATTCCCTCATCCATCCCTCTGCTCCACTGCAGCCCCTGACCCTGAGAGCTCTCTGGATGAGTGAGGATGAAAGAAGCCAGCCCAGCAGAGACTCAAGCCACTGCAGGTCCAACTGGGTACCAACTGAGCTCAGAGCAACTCACCTGCAGGTCAAAGAACTTGCTGTATCTCCGGTAAATGGTCTGGGACGTGGAGTCAGACCAGGTCACATTGATGATGTATACCTGTGAGGAAAAGATAAGAGAAGGTCAATGGGTGGCTAAGGCTGGGCTTCAAGCTGTGCCAGGAATCACTTAACATGACTCTGGGTGCTCCCTGGCCAGGACTGTCCTTATCTCTGTCCCTCGGCCTAGCACAGTGGCAGGTCACGGGTGCTAAATATATAGATCTAAATATACACAAACCCCTAACTAGAAAGGTATTCAATAAAATGCGAAGGACGATGAACTTAGGAGCGTAGGATTATAAGTGGTTTTAATTTCCTTCTGTTTGTTTCTATGGATTTTATACAAAGAACATAAAACTGGGGTTAAGAAAATTTAAATAGCTAATTTCCACTGGTTCTGAAACTTTAGAGAGAATGAAAATCTTCAAAGGGCCTTCCCAAACTGTAGAGTCTGGGGACCCACCCTCTGAAATTCTGCATAAGTAGACCTGGGTTTGGGGGGCTTGGGTATCTATATTTTATTCTACTTTTTAAATATTTTATTTTTAGGTTAACTGCAAAACTTAAGAGAAAGCACAGAGTTCGCATGCATGCGCCATCCCTGCAGATGCGCAGCCTCTCCTACTGTCAACACCTCCCACCACGTGACACATTTGTTACAATCGGGCATCTGTGTTTTTGATGAACCACTTGGGGCTGTTCTGCTGCAGCTGATCCTCAGAACTCACCCTGAAGAACACCGCCCAAGACCACAAGCATTTCAGAGGTGTGTGATTCACGGGCCTCCCCATGTCTCACTCAGCACCAGGCACAGAGCACAGGCTCAGAACACTTTTGTTCCGCTGACCAATCAAACTGACCCTCTGGATGAGAGACAGATTTGCTGGAGAGACGTTAGCGTATGAAAGATTTGTAATCCCTACTGAAATGGGCTTTTCAGGATCCCATTCCCAATGCTCAGTCAGGCCTCAGGCCATTCTGGAAGGTCCCTGGCCCAGGAGGTGGGCAGGGCTGCTGGCTGGAGAAGGACAGAGAGTTCTTCACCCACACTATTTGCATACTGTCCCTTTTACCTGAGCCAACACAAATGTGCCCTCGAGGGAGAGTCCTCAGTTAGAGGGAGAGGTCCCCTCACACAACCCCAGGCTTATTCTGCTGAACTTCCTCTCCGGGGGGCTAAGGGGCAGCACTGAGACAAGATCTTTGCCTCGCCTCCTCCCTTGGAAAAGAATGAGTGGCTGTGGCCACAGCAGTGGCCCCTTTCCAGGACCAACCATCAGATGCACTGGAAGAGTTCAATAAGATTCAGATGCCTGGGCATCTGCACTGGGATGCTGAGTCAGTAGGTCTGGGGGGACTCTACCAGGGAGAACAAAATGGCCAGGGGTCTTGGCCACTGTGCGAAAAGGGAACGTTAGCAAAGAGGAGTAGCACTTAGACACTTGGCATCAGTGTGGTTGACTTTGCCAAATGCCCATCTTAGTCTGCTTGGGCTGCTGTAATAAAATACCAGACTGGGTGGCTTGAATAACAAATATTTATTTCTCACAGTTATGGAGGCTGGAAGTCCAAGATCAAGGTTCCTGGTGAACCTGCTCCCTGGCTTACAAGTGGCTACCTTCTTGCTGTATTCTCATGTGGTAGAGAAAGGGGGCTCTGGTTGCTTTTCCTTTTTACTGGGGCACTAATCCCATCACTAGGGCTCTACCACCATGACCTCAGATCAACCTAATCACCTCCCAGAGGTCCCACCTCAAATACTATCACACTGGGGACTAGGGCTTCAACATAGGAATTTGGGAGAACACAAATATTCAGTCTCTAGCAGGGTTTTGCACACAGAAGTGAGAGGCTCTATGTTTCGCTGTTCAGTTAACAGCCAAGGAAACAAGCTCTGACCCCAGTCTCTTCTCCTGGCTGATCCGAGTTGCAGAGTTGGCCACATGCAGTGGGGAGTGTTTGTTCTGCACTGCAACCAAGGAGAGGCCCATAAAGCAAAGTAAATAGGGCTGAATGCTGCCGCTCTGAGAGGGGGTATTTATGACATGTTTTATGTGATCCTGAAAAGGAAGAATATAAAGTAAAAGGCCACCCCTGTCCTCACAAGCCCAAAACAAACTAGTATTGATTATTATAATAAATAGATAGGGATATGCCTTGTTTTATATCATATATAAACATACATCTCATACAATAAGTTATAGAAACCAATTAAATAATGGTTACTACATGCCAGCACAGTGTAAAGCTTTCATATGCATTAGTTCATTTCATCTTCAGCTCAATAGGGTAGCTACTACTGTCCCTCATTTAGTACAGGAGGAAGCTGAAAAGTTCAGTGAAGCTAAATAATTTGCCCCAAATCACACAGCTAGTAAAATACAGAGCACTGGAAGCGAGGTGCAGCTGAGTTCAATCCCCATGCTCCTAATCATACTGGACTATCTCCCTATATGTAAATTTAGGAGTGTGGATATTGAAATCGAACTACTTGATTAGAACTGAATGACATCTTTAAATAAAGCTTTGGGTGGTAAGAAAAGTCTGTACAGCCTTTGCTTAGTGGAAAAACCCAAAGGAACATGGAGGAGTCATGTCATTTCTGAGAGCCCAAGAACAAGAAGAGACAGAACTTGGGGCCCAGACAGAAGTCAATCGTTAGGAATGCTACAAAACCAGATGAACACAAAGGAAACCCTCATATACAACCGGCTTACTGTGGCAGGATGCTCTGGGATTTTCACAAGGGTTATAACCCACCCCTTCTCCCCCATGCTGACTCCCAGCTCCCTTACTCCCAAATCCTGCAAGCTACATCTCCCTCCCACCTGCATTCCTACAGCACCCAGGCAGGGAGCAGATGCTGTGCACCACCAGGCACTGTGTTCCTGAAGTCTGCCCATGCAGATGCACTGTAAGGAGGCCCCAAGTGGCTATGCTCCCTTGGGAGACAGCCTGCATTGGCCTACAGGCCATTAGACAGCAATGTTTCTACCTGGCCATCCAAGCGGGCCTAAGAGGAAGGGCTTAAGTGGGGCTTAACATGACCTATGCTCCATCCTCTAGTAATTAGGGGCTTCCCTTCACCTCCCAGGGAGAATTAATCACAAGCTTACAGCCTCTGGCAGCTGGGAGGCCTCTCCTCTTGCAGAGGAGAACCTAAGACCCAGGATGTGATTGGCCAAGGAAGAAGCCTAGGGTTGGAAGTCGGCCACATGTGGGTTTCACTCTCGGGCCCTCAGGCTCCTCCTCTATTCAACAGGCACAGCCTCACAGCTGTGTTCACCAGTGGCGGAGCCAGGCAGGACCCAATCCCCAGTCCTAGGGCCCAGCACATGACCAGGGCACACCCCTCTTGGAAAAGCCCTTTCCTTTTTGCTCTTCAAAATAGTTGAACAGTCACAAGGAGCCTCTTCTCAAGTTTTCCTTGACCTGAACACCAAAGAGGTTCAGGTCTCTCTTCTGGAGAAAGAGCCAGAGGGCAGAGGTGGCAGAAGTTGTCAGTGTGACCTTTGTCAGCCACAGCCACCAGGCCAGGGCATGGCTGTGCTTCCCCTCCAAATGCATTTCTTTCTTTGTTGGGCAAAGGATTGCTCCTACTAATATATTGCACCCCACTTCCCATGCCCTGAGCAAGCATGAAGTTAACTCAGGTGTGGGAGTGGGAAATGAGCCCCCATTCCCAGGTTCTCCCAAACCTTGATGACCTGCCAGAGGACAGCCTAGCCTACCCTCCTAGACAACCAGTCTAAATACTGAGTTGAGGAAATGGTCAGAGACCTTTCTGGACATAGCCCAGAGGTCCAACCACAGTTCCAGGCCTATCTCATCTGGACAGGAGGCTCATCCACTTTCTTCCAAACCTTAAACATCCTTGATTATCGCTCCAGATGAGCAATGGACACACAAAATTCCAGCCCAATCCACACTTCTCCCAACCCACCACATCAGAGATTCTCAAGCCTCCCTAAGCTGGCCCTGCCGGCACTGGAAACCTTAGCGATAGACTGCAGGGAAGGAGCAGGTGGAGGGGCAGGGGGACAGGGCAGAGGTCATCTGAGAAAGCCAGCTCTGTTTACTGGCCTGCGTCAGGAGCCCAGATAAACTCTCCTTTGGCAGCAAAAGCAGCCAAGATAACATTACCCAGCAGCTGGGTTCAAGAAAGCTTTGGAATTAAACATCCTGCTTCCACACGCTTTCCTTGAGATCATGTTTCCCGGGTGGAGTTTCCCTTCCTTCTGGATTTCTAAAAACCCATGGATTCTATTTCCCCCATCTCTGGTCATTTCAGGCAGATGGTAGGCATCTAGGAAGCCTCCCTACAGACCAGCAACTGGGTCCAGCTTCCTCCGGAGAGGAAGCCCCAGAGCCCCGTATTTAGCTGCCACACTCACCCTCCAGAGAGGAGGCTCTCCACACAGACACAGCTACGGCGACTCTCACCAGACACCCAGCACCACGTCGGTCCAACCAGCCCCCCAACTCTGAGGCCATCTTGCACAGCCTTCCATCTGCTCAGCTCATCAGGCCCAGAAATGTTGAGGCTTCTGAGCCTCCCACGGCTTCCAAGTTTTGCTCCTTTCGGCAAGAAAATGACCTTGACGCAAATCAGACCTGCAACTCAGCTCCCGAGTTCAGAGAATGAAGCCAGCCCAGCTCCCGTGGAGGGATGTCCATGATTGGACCTGGGCTGTGACTAATGACCCAAAGGTGTGGTCCAACCATTCCTAGAGGGCCTAGGACCTGGCCCATGTTTAATTAGAAAGTGCCAGGAAGTATCTGTTGCTTCCTTTGCTGATGAAAAATACAGTTAGAGGCAAGGAGTTGGGAACTGTAGAAGAAATTGTGCAAATCATGCAAGCCCACTCACTAGCCTATGACTCAGTTTACCAAGGAAGGCCTAATTTTCCCTGGACCCCTGCCAGCTGCCCCTGGACACAGACCAAATGGAAACTCAGTGACAATCTTCCTTCACCTGCTCACCACCATGGGGTGGGGTCAGCTGACTAGGACTAGGGCCATTGCATATCGTTGAAGTAAGTGTTAATGACCAGGTGG